TACAGCTGCTGGGTGTAATTGCATGCATCCGCCTATAGGAGGACGCAACTGCACGCCGTTGGAAGCCAACTTGGTGCCCGCACTCAAATGCATACTATCTGCCTCCAAGTGCAGGCACATCTGCGCAGGTCCAGGTCGGCGTGTAGATGCGTGCAAATATGCCCCCCCATAGGGAGGTACAGACGGCTGCACACAATTATACACTACACCTCCCGGGAACAGGTCTCTGGACGCTGTATGGATGCGCACGCCCATGTGAATGAGCCCCTAAACATACCACCCCAAATCACACTACAACCAGGAACTATTTGGCCACAATTTGCATTTGAAGCATCTGTATCCAAATGTATTTATTTTTGTAGTTTTGTATAGAATAGGAAATGATTTCAATTCTTCTAAAGTTATTTTTTGGCTTTAGATAAAGAGAACCTGTCATGTGGGAATTATTTGGGCTACCACCGGGGTTCAGGAGCTTCTGGTTGGCTGACTGTAATAGCCAGGGCCGGATTTACTCCCTCTGCTCCCCCAAGGCCAGGTTCCTCAATGCACCGCTCTACATTTAATTCTACTTGCCCAAAGCAGGGCTACATGTAGAAAACAACTATCTGCCCCCTGCCCAGAACTGCATGTCCCGGGCATATCAGGAGACAGGAATCCCACACCCCTGCTGCCCCTCTACTCCCTGCTGCCCCAAGGCCGGGCCTTGGTTGGCCTTGTGGGAAATCCGGCCCTGGTCATAGTGACATCTGTCAGTCACCCTGTAGTGTGTGCCGATTGGTAGACGCGAGGAGCCATGGCGGTGGAGGGGGGCACCGGCGCTGCCTCGTGAGAATTTGTTCTTAGCTCTGGGCAGATCCTATTAGAGGATGATGAGGTGATGCGATTAGATGGTCACCCGGCGTGGCCTGAACACCCTGCCTCTATCACACAACGGACTCTATCACAAGATGTTCCCGCTATCTGCGGCATCACAAGTGTCATCTCTTATCAGATCCGCCAAATGGAGCCGAAATTCTGTCACACAGTTAACACGTGAAAAAGGTCACCTGGGTCTGTTTTATGGTTTTCTTAGAAACTTTCTTAGAAGAACTGAAACCGATAAAACTGACATCTGGCTTCTGGACCCCACCTAGCCATCACACACAATGGGGGGGATTTATCACAACTGGAGCAGACAAGATCTGGAGCAGCTGTACATGGCAACCAATCAGCTTCTCTCTTCAGTTTGTTCAATTAAGATTTAAAAATGAAAGAAGGCTGATTGGTTGCCGTGCACAGCTGCTGCAGATCTTGTCTGCTCCAGTTCTGAAAAATTCCCTTCGATGGATATATTTCCTTCCAGCGTGGACCCTCCACCAGCCACACAATGCCATGATTAGAAAATATTCATTCATTGACTTGCTGTAGACTTTTCATAGCTGATGGACTTCTTCTAATTGAGCCAGTTACAGCCATTTAAAGGGCCAGTCCACCTTGAACTGAGACCTGAGTGGACCCCGGCAGGCTCAGTCACACTATAATGGCTTACATTGCTGTAGGCTGCTGTGAGTAATTTTTAGCTCTGCATCCTCTAGTCTCAGTCCTCCTGCTGCAGTCTCTATTACACAAAATGAACTAACAAATGGCTTCAGCGGATGGGAGGAGCCGGGAACCCAAGGGCAGAGACCTACCTTCCAGAACCTCAAAGACCGCGGCCGATCTCCTCATATTTACCCAAAGCTGAATGCACAGATTGTGTTGGACCGACCCTATAACCGTCTCCTTTTGTCGGCCGGTCTATGCATGTCAGAGTTCAGGTCAAGCGATCAGACAGTTTATTGAATGTAAAAGTTAAAAAACCAAAGCAAACTGGTGTTTTCCAATACGACCTACACACCGCCAGAGGTCTCCCAGCGACCAATGGACCCCCCAACCCATTCCTCACCCATCAGACACCCTACATAAAGTTTCAACATGGCCGAGTTCACTAAACGTCAATGAGCAGCCAAATAATAATGGAGACCCCCTAAAAGTCACTTTCCAGCCACTGAATCTTAGGTGAGGGCTTCCTGAGCTCTCTGCATCTACGGAGCTGGTCAGGGCATGCTGGGCGTTGTAGTCCCAGGGCCGCCATAAGCCGGAGTCTCCCATAAATGGACATTTGTATGTAAAGGTTCTTACCGTGCTGCCGTCGGTGCCTTTTGGAGTAAAGAATTCTTTAATGTGTGCTCTGCCTGTCAGTTAAGAAAGGGAAGGAAGCTGGTTAAGCAACCCCCCTCCCCCCTTCTCAAAAACCACATTAACAGGAAGCTGAACTCCGCCGCTTCACCAGCGCAGGCTGTTCATCATGAGCATGCTTAGTACGGCCGCACAGGAGGGGGGTCTGGAGGGAGCAGCTAGAAAAGTCAAAAATATGAATGTATTCATTGGTTTGATGGTTCCCATGGTGTCGGAGACATTCGATTGTAAGCTCCTGTGTGGCAGAGACTGGTTTTAAAGGATATGTGAACCCCGTGTGTCAATGTATGTTATGTCAGGAGTCAATGTGCATTGCATCACGGCAGCCCAATAAGATGAATGGGCTCCTAACATACCAAAAATCAGATGTGATCCCTTATTTGGTAACACAACACACAACCATTGTGGCACGCTCCAACACAGGGGTGTTACGCTAGTGAATTGGGGTGCCATTCATAGTGAATACAACACACATTGCATGGGTCATAAATCTATGTTTTCAGTATGTTTGGCATCTTGCCTCACTGGATATAGTTGTCTTAAGCAAATCAATTTGTTTGTGTACATTTGTTACAAAGTTTCCTCCCCGGAGATCCTGCCAGTAGCTGCACTTCCTGTTGCAGGCTGATAGAGTTAGGACTGCCTTGTACTTGCAGCAGCAGCGTTGTCATTCTGCCGCACACACTCCTTCAGCTGTGTGCACGCCGCCTACAGACCTGACAGGCACCTCAGCAGCCAAATCTAAGGGCTCATTTACACGGGCGTGCAAATCCATAGCACATGCACGCCCATGCAGAGGCCTATTCTAAGGGGGACCGTGTGTAATTGCATGCAGCCACCTGTATATCCCTAAGGGAGAAGGCAGCTGCACGGGTATACATGCCGAGCCAAACCTGCACCTCTGTGTGGGTCCAGGTGCCCTGGATGTAGGGTCGCCACCTGTCCAGGATTCACCCGGACAGTCCGGGTTTTGAATGTTGTGTTCGGGTTTCATGGCAGCAGAAATCCGGACACAAGTTGTCAGGCAGACAGGGGCAACCAAAATTAAGATAGGGGCTACTGCCCCCCGCTGGAAATAGTCTCAACTGGGATATTTACATATGAATGGGTGGCACTTTTTACATATTAATAAGCCGCGACTCATTCTCCCCCAAAAAATGTCCGCGCGTCGCTAGAGTGTTTCGGGTTTCTTTTGAAGAAAATGTGGCAACCCTACCTGGATGCAGACAGTGTATGTGAAGTGTATGCACCCAGACCTGCACAGATGTGCAGGTTCGGATCTGCGTGTAATCACGTGAAGCTGCGTCCTCCCATAGGTATGTACAGGTGGCTGCACGCAATTACACGCAGCAGCTGTCCCTCCCGGGAGCAGGTCTTTGCATGGGCATGCCTGCAGTATGAATGTTGTGAATGACCAGTATTTGAACACGTGATCTGATCCAAACAAATGATATTGTGCCATGTAACACGCCACCGTGGAGCTTCAAAGAAGCAACTTTTCCTGCAAAAGTATTTTAATGGATCATTACCTTTCAGGGAGCGGAATGTCCGGGGGAGGGGATTATCTGACAACAATTCATTTGAAAAGGTGATTTGTAGTATGTTCATCTCACACTGAAATACCCAGAGGGCTCACTCTGATCTCACTGCAGTTACTATCTGTATCCCACACAGGAAGCTTGTGGCAATGTAGAGATATTCGCTGTGTAGCAACTTATGATGAGGAAGTTACCGAAATATAACAGAATGTGGAACACTGTAGCCCGACAATGCCACATCATAGGGTGTAGCTACAGGGGGTCCAACTGTCCCTGGGCCCAGGAAATCAGAGGACCCCCCAATCATTTATCAACCAGCAATGTCCCCACATCCCTGCAGTGCTGAATATTGTTCCTTTTCCAGGCACTTGGAAATGTGGATATCGGGAATTGTTACTTTGTTTCCTCTATGTATCATCATGGGCACAGCTTCAGACATTGGCTAGTGACGGGGGGGTCAAAGTTTGCTATGGACAGGACGGTGGCTAAGGCCTCGTTCACACCAGATGCAGTGCGTTCCAGCCCGATTATGGCCAGAATGCACTGCCTCGCATTGCAGCCAGCAGTCCATTGAAGTGAATGGCACCGTAGCCACGCCCTCCGGCCACAATACGATCGGCCGCACGGGATCGCAAGGCACATTATACCTGCGGTTCGGTCCGATCAAAATAGCGCTTGCAGCATTCTGATCGGAACGGACCGCAGGCATAATGTGCCTTGCGATCCCGTGCGGCCGATCGCATTGCGGCCGGAGGGCGTGGCTACGGTGCCATTAACTTCAATGGACTGCCACGCCCCCTCCTGCCCCACAAAAAAAGTGAGGCGGCCGCAATGCGAGGCAGTGCTTTCTGGACAGAATCGGGCTGGAACGCACTGCAACTGGTGTGAACGAGGCCTAAAAGTGTCCTCTAAACTAAAATCATCAATAAAATGAAAGACAAAAAAGACCCCAATTATAGAAACAGAAAAAGTGTTCGATTTGGCCAAAGAGCTGGCGATCAGAATTAAAGTACGCTTTCCCCATTTCCCTCAATCTCTCTCTATGTAGTTTGTCAGCTCTTCCAATGCACTGACCACCATGGCCGCTCTGTGCCCCTATTTGTATAGCGAGGGGCCTGAGCTTAACCAAAAGCCCCCTTATTAGCCCTTTTAAGCCTGCTGGCCATTGTTTGAAGGCCTTGCATTGCATTATAGTTTAATATATTCAGCACAGAACCGCAACCCCCAAACCCGCAGGATTCACCTCTAACCCAGTGGCGTTACAAGGATGGTGCGTCCTGTACCGGGAGACACCAACAGAGGGAGTGACAACACAATGACTGACAGTCATTTCGGTGTCTCCCCCTCTTAAAGGAGAACCATGGGGTCAGTGTTTTTCCCCATAGTTCTCCTTAGGGTTACGGGAGGACACAAACTAGCGTCCTCCCGTCACCCTAGGCTCAGTAGCTCGCGGTATACTGAGACGCCGCAGCCGGAGCGGATCCCGATGTAGATGACGGGATCCGCCCAGCTGCGTGAGTGACAGCTGGCTGTGCCTATCTAGAGGCAGAGCCAGCTGTACCCGCCCCCTCCCCAGTCCGTTCCGCCAGTCAGCGCTGGCAGATCGGAGAGGGGAATCCAGCCCCTCCCCCTGTCACGGCAGAGAGCTGTGACAGGATCGAGAGGTGAGCGAACCTGGTATGTGTTCGCTCACCTCCCGATCTACTGAGCCGACCTGTGACAGTCTCATTGTCACAGGTCGGCTAGAACTATGAGGTGAGTGGAAATCACCCCCCCCCCCCCCTCATTTTCCTTTTAATGTTGAG